GGAGGTAATTTCAATCAACTAAGTGACAAACCTTTTGTATTAATTCTCTCTCTCTCTCTCTCTCTCAATATATATATATATATATAGTTTTTAATATGATATTTTTCATACGTACATAGTTATTTACGTGAATTTGTGTTTGCAAGTATGTACGTATAATCGTACGTATAATCGTATTTATGCCTCCCAGTGTTCACAGTTCATTGGTATCAACAAATTATTGTTTCTTTGTTACTTTTAGATCAGTGACATCCCCAAACATTTTCACGCTGTCGTCCATCCGTATCGTTTGTGCCCCACCATCATATATAAAACTAATACACACCCCTTTGTTGTATTAGATATTGCGAAGACTTAAAACGACTAACCTTACGCTATAAACAAGTGTATGCATTTCATCAATAAAACTTAACGAAGTAAAACAATTTATTTAGCAATATGAAAGGATACATTTAGAGTTCAACTGTGATTTCATTGCTGCACAATTTTAATAAGATGAATGGGTTTGGTGCCGGGAAATTCACTTCTCATGATCAAATGAAAAGCACTAATATCTAATCCCCGTGTTCAATAAGTTTTAGTTTCTATCTATATTTCTGAGATATTGTAACTATTTACACTATTTACATCATTCGGAATGTTGTCCTCATCTTTATTGTCATATTCACGACGTTTCGGCCGTTGGATGTTCCGGCCTTTTTCAGGATCTGTCTATATTTCTGTTTAGGTATTTTACTATTTACACCATTTAAATTGTTCGGACAGTTGTCCTCATCTTTATTGTCATATTCACGACGTTTCGGCCGTTGGACGTTCCGGTCTTCTACGTTGGAATTTCGGGCTGAACCTTTTATTTAGTCTACTGGGTTAGATTGTCTTAGTTCGGCGTGTCTTGTCTTTTCTGGATATCTCTTGCAATATTATTAAACAGTCTGTAATTTTGAATCTTAAATTTAGGAATCAAGACTTATATCAGAGTACATTTAGCGTTGTATGATTTTCCTTGGTGCCGTAAGGACAGTAATCAGAAATACTTTTTGTAACCGAACTTTGCCTCAATGCCATTTAAGAGTGAAATCAATTTTTTCTCCCCTACGAATGGATTGATCACTTAGTCTGGTATTTTAAGCGAAAATAATCACTATTCATTCATACATGTCTCGATGCAGGTTATTTACGTGCGTACAATATAGTTGAATAATATTCACTTTTTTTTTTTTTTACAATGATCATCCTGTACAAAGCCCTGGCGCCACTCGATGTAGAGTGTTACCGAGTAAGAGGCACAGCTAATGCGGATGTGCGGATGATAACGGTTAAACGTAGACTTGAACAGTTTAAGATTTTAATGATCAGGGAAGCATCCTCTTGGGAGTCGCCTCCACAAATCAGTGGCTCGTGAGAAGAAGCTGCTCGAGTGAAACTTACATTTTGACTAAAGGAATGCGATGGAAATGAGGGTGGTTCGCTACCATGTGCTTGGCATGGTGGGTGGAACTAATGGGTGTAGTTCATTTGAACATTTTCCATGGAAATAGCATCTGTGGGAAAGGCGTTGTGGGGTGGAAAATAATTAATTACCCACAAGGACGCAGGGATGCTTTTGGTCTCTATCGAGAGTGGTAAGTGAAGATTGGGCAGCAGGAAGGGTTAGGTACTTGCTGGATCGGTACAGAGAACCGACCATTTTCCAAGCTCCTTTAGTGATGGATCATATATACGAGTTCCTCTTGAGATCTGGGCTGAATTTGTCCCAGTAGACGACCAAAGCCTCTCTAAGGGAACATCCTTTCATCGTGGTTGGTGATAGTTCTGGATCCGATCGGCGGTGGTGAAATGTCGTTAGTTTGGTTTTCGCGATATTGAATGTTTTCCCCTAATGAGCTGTTAGAATTAGAACAGAGGAGAGGTCAACTGCCAAGCTCTGGTCATCCAGGCTTTTATTTTCTTCAATTCAGAGAGACTCGCTAATTTGGAAGTACTCATGATGAATTATATTCCATTTGAATAAATATTACATGGACAGAAACTTTGAGAATTTTGATTTGGCTTTGATAAAGTTAACTTTAATTCCTTCTACAGGGTGCCCAGTTAAAATGCGGAAAATTTATTCTTCGAGAAAATACACAATCAGCTCTAATTGGTGTATCTCAATAACCCTCTAAAAGCCCAGATCTGAATGTTATGGATTACTATACCTGGAGTATACCCCTAACTCACTTGCACATCCGTCATCGTGACATCGTCGATATTGATTCATTGAAGCGGAACTTAACTGAAGCTTGGAATGAAATTTCTCTTGACACTCTATCCACAAAGCTACTGTCCGATGGTTACCACGCTTACAACTTTGTGCTGAACATCCAAGCAAACATTTTGAACATCGACGATGATTGTTCAGTTTGTGCATGAATCATTACAGCTAAATAAATTTCTTTATGAATTTGCCGGTTTTTTACTGGTACGCTGTATAAATATATACTATAGTGTATATATATATATATATATATATATATATATATATATATATATGTGTGTGTGTGTGTGTGTATATATATATGTGTAGATATATATATATATATGTATGTATGTATGTATGTATATATGTATGTATTCTTCGAGAAAATACCCCTGCTCTAATTGGTCCATCTCAGTCGCCATCTTAAATCCTAGAGCTGAATGTTATGGATGACTGTATCTAGAGTATACTCCTAGCTCACTTGCAAAACCGTGACATCATCGATATTGATTCATTGTAGTGGAGGATCATCTGTAAATCTTGGACCCTCAACAACTTCAGGATCAGATGCAATCTTTTTGTAAATCTATCTTTGCGGATAGCATCAAGAGGAATTTCATTCCTCTTGATCCTATCCGTAAAGCTACTACCTCCTACTTACCACACTTACAACTTTGTGCTGAACATTCAGGCAAACATTTTGAACATCTACGAGGATTGTTCAGTTTGGGCATGAATCATGATAGCTAAAAACATCTCTGAATTTACCGCTTTTTTACTGGGCACCCTGAAGTTAGAAAGTAACTTCATTGAACGTTTTGAATTGATCTGATACATAAGCAATGCTTGATATTTTCTCGTTATAGAGAGCAGAATGAGTGTCATGGAATAATTTAACAACTGTTTTCAAAAGTAGATAGAAACTCCGAAAGCACTTTCCTTTTTGATAGCCATCTAACTTCTTTGTCACAACAAATGTTTTATGATCATTCATCATTCTCAGAGCTGTCGAAACAATTAGAATTTGAGAGCATATACCTTTAGTTTTATTTATTCTTGTTACAACAGTTCTTAATGGTTTGTGAAGTCAGCCAATTAGGGTTTTTTTGCCAGTAGATGTTGACACTTGGTTACGCAGTACGCCGTAGACACACCAGGTAAATCTCTTTTCAAGAAATTGATGAAGCTGAGATGACAACCTGTCATCAATGGTTTCCTACAAACAAGCAAGAATGTTGGTAAGCTAGATGTATTATTTTTTTTAGAACAACTCAAAATACTTACTCTCCTTTAGTATCTGTCTCAACATTGCCTGCAAATTACACCTCTTGAACCAAAAAATTGAACATAAGAAGCAAAGATTCATTGTCTAACAAAGAGAATTCAATTGCTACACAAATGCTGTTTTCCACTGCAATTGCTTACATAGTCTTTTGTCGATTGTTTGATGATCATTCTACACGGCATCTGATACTTGATCTGATTGCACGTATCCTGTTACTTTACCAAGATTCGATATTTCGATATTATTTGATATATTTAGACATTTCGATATTTAACACCAACTTCAGGTCATAAAATGAAAGCAGTCTTTCTCTGTTAATTTCATTCTTTATACATTATAAATGTTGTATATAAATGCTTTTGAACTGGTTTTTATATATAAATTTAAAAAAAGAAATGAGTGAAAAATTTCCTTTGGTTCGCCCATTGCTTGAACCTTTCTATCATCCTATGGATCATAGAGTATAGATCAAATCGCATCTATTGTAGAACAGCGAATATACATGTTTAACAAGCCATTCGTTAATAGATGCTTCATAAACGGGGTCGTATATTTATATACGCCAGCACTCGTGTCTAATATAAGGCCGACAGTAATAAGAGACGCCAGCAAACCACTTTAACGCAAAAAACAACATCTATAAACCGATGCTATTACTGATACTAAGACGTGTTAGTATCACTATACAGATAACCCAGTATCTGTCTATATTTCTGAGATGAGTTATTATGTACATTATTTACATTATTCGGACTATTGTCCTCATCTTTGTCGCCATATTTATTACAACGTTTCGGCCGTTGTACGCTCCGGCCTTCTTCAGGTGGTTGGAATATCGAACTGAACCCTTTATTTCGCTCACTGCGGTAGACTGTTCTAGTTCCACGTGCCATGTTTTAATGAATATCAGTTATCTCCTGCTAATTTTACCTCTGAAAGTTCTCCACTGCCTTAACCGGGTACTCTTTGGGTCCTGTCACTGGATCTAACTAACGCCTTTATCCACTGTTCCATGTGTCCGAATAGTGTAAATAAAGACAACTCAATACTACCAATGTATTGACTGATTTCTTTTTTATGGTTTATCAATATTTTGCAGGTTATTTAAAACTAGAAAATATTTTTATATTGTAATTTTTTGTAGATAATAAAGATTAATGATAAACATCCTACTGATTAACTGGGGAAGAATATGTGGATTCATACCTTTCCCAAGGACACCAACGCAAAAACTGGTTGGACAATCTCAAAAAATGGACAAGTATGACTATACCAGAATTGCTGATGGCTTCCGTTGATAGACCGTTGTGGAGGAGATTCAATATGGTTTCTGCGTTCGGATCTCTCAATACGATTAGAAAAGTCAAGGGATGATGATGATGATTAATATAACGAACCCGACCTGAATTGGAACTCGACTCTCCGATTTCCAATGCTGAGCTTCTTATCCATCACACCAACTGCACATCCGAGATTATAGCACTAGGTATTACCAAGCGGTCACTCATTTAGGTACTGATCAGACTCGACTTTGCTTAGCTTCATTAATCGTACGAGAACCGGTGTATCAACGTGATATGGCCGTAAGCCACTGCCAATATCAATACACTTTTTAATACCAAAATATAAAATACTTTAATTAAAACCCAATGCTATCGGTGTAAATAAAAAAATGGCTGGCAACTCGTATCCGAGGATGCCTGTCTACTAGGTCGGTTAGCCAATCCCTATTTCAGACACCTGCACAAGCAAATTTTTGTTTATACTGCAACAATGCTGAGCTGACCTTACAGTTTCTCAGAGAGAGCCCGTTATTTAGTGCGATCAAGTCTGAACAAGGCCAGCAAGCTCAAACCCTTGGTCACAATGACTTGTGACCTTCGAACGCTGCCAATGAGTTCTGTCTATCCAATTTCACTGACAAGGATTTGGTCAACTTTCCAAAGGTGCTGCACGCTGGGATCGCCTCCTCCAAACCTATAACATCAAAAAGTCACCTTCCTTTCAAAACGCCTATAGTGAGATTCGACTCCGGTCTTATGGTCAGAAAGCGAACATAATAACCACTCGGTCATAACTATGTAAATACACACTTTAATACCAATGTATAAAATACAATAGTTCTTCTAGAATTGTTAACTTATTTGAATCATTTTTGAGCAGGAAAAATTCCGTGTTATTAAAACCACAAGAAAAAATTCAGTTACAAAATATTCTTAAAATACCCAAATTATAAATTCATATTATATCTATTTTAAATATTGAATAGGGGAAAGAAAGTGTTTGTGAATATTACCAAAATATCAAAAACTATCAGCTTTAAATATTGATTTTCAGATGCATTTTATACTTTTTAAACAAAACAAAAACTGAGATGCTGGCGTAAGCAACTGTTGCGGGTCGCAATAAACATAGCAGACTCAGGATGTGAGCCCACGTAAATAAATAATAAAGTAATATAAAGAAACGACAAAAAACAATATGTATTTACAAACAAATGCTAGTGTATTAACAATAAAGGGCTGAAAGTGACAAAGACAAAGATGTGTGTGTGTGAAATGAAGGTGAAAACCGTGTTGGATCAAAGTATGTGTAATGAGTGAATGTACGTACGTGTGTGTGTGTGTGTGTGTGTGTGTGTGTGTGTGTGTGTGTGTGTGTGTGTGTGTGTGTTCATGCGTTTCCCAAAAGGGAAGCGCGTTCTCCGCGAGAGGTTTACATGTTGACGTGTGAGCAGAAAAAGTAAGAAGAGAACGAGAAAAATATCGCAGCAGAGTATTTATAGTCCTGAGAGTATCCCCTAGGAGTAGTTTCAAAAACTAGGTGGAGTTAACCTGACACAGAAAAATATAAAGATAAACCCTATATCGTACATAAAAAATTATTATCGTCATAAACATAGCTTTGTTTTTTCCAATAATATATTAATTGAAAGTTTATTCGACATCCTAGATTATAGAAACTATCAGATTTCCTTAGCTGCTTGCCTTTTCAGTTTGCAAAACAATCCTGACTAATTCATTTTTCATGATTAAACTAAACTTTTGTTGACTGGATTTACGAATAGTCAGAACGACGATTCTTTAGAGCGCATAAAAATTCAAGTATCAAAAAATGTATTTTGAATAAATTGGACAAATAAATGATATAAATTCCATACACGAACTTCTAGAATAATTGCATTTCATTTGCAACAATGTTTCCTTCATCCGACGACACAAGAATTATGACTTATAAAATTTGCACGTCTTCTGTCCTAATGTATTCATTGGCATAAAATTACTTCAGATTTAAAAATAAACCACTAAGTTAAAACAAAATAGCCTCTTATTGAGAACCCGTAAAAGCTATTATATTTATCTCATAGGTCCTTTGCCGGATCTCGTTGACAAATAAAATGAACTTTGCCAAATAACAAAATCACATCACTTAAAAACTTCCAACAGCTGCAACAACTAAAATGGATAGCAGATGTAAATCGAAGAGAAAATAATGACATAATAAAGATGTTGAGGTTTTACATTATCTTAAACAAAAGGTTAGAAAGGAACTCCCATCTATAGCAGAAAGAGAGATAACAGTGAACCTATTTTCCTGAAAAACAATTACAATCGACAGTAACGCTTACCATTTGGTCAATGTATGCCGAATGTTTCCTTATAAATAATGACTAATATTGCTATGACCATAACCATTATCATTTATCTTCATGAGGCAACTAATTGCGTACAATATTAGATTAGTAAGCAAAGGCAAGAAAATACTTTCTATAAAAGCTAGTACCCCCAAAGAATCGCTAACAAAATGAAGATTTATGATGAAAAAAAATGATCCAAACAAAGTTTTATCGTCAAAAATATTTGTTATTATTTAGAGGAAAGAGAAAAGGACTTTTTAAATTATTTATTTATATTTTATAATACTTTTTAGAAACTTTTCAGAAAATTTTGTTTAATTTTATTTTTACGTCTGCGAGCGACCAAAAGAAATGTTATCGTCTTTTTGCTGTGAAAAATACAGTGATTTGAAAATTTTTGCAAACATCAAATAATTGTGGGATATTTATAAAACTTTCAGGACTTATTCACAAATGAATGACATTGTTTTATAAATGTTTCTTTTTTTAGAAAATCGTAAAAATATTTGCTTATCTGTTAGTCCCCCCTTCCGCCCTTATTTAATTTTATGAAATATCGAGAAATTCATTTTTGTAGTGCTTAATATTTATAGTAGGTAGAAGCAGAAGTTAGAATTCCTTGGAGAATTTAAATCATCAATTTCTATAAAATAAAAATTACAAAAAAACTAAAACATTATTTAATTAGAAAAGCTTTTAATTGGTTTTATGAATATATTTTGGACAATATTGATTTACGAAAGACCAAATTTTTTCGATGAATAATAAATTTTTGCAAGAATTGCAAGTTAATCTGGAAACGACAAATTTTCATGAGAAAACTATTTTTTTTTTTTTTTTACCAATGTCCTCCATTTATTTGTCTTGTTTTGATCGGTTGAATCTCAGAAGTTGTTGGCGTTTTTAGCGTTGACATATTGAGAATTGACGACTGACTTGAGCCAATGGATCGCATAAACTTACTTGCTATGCACCTCTCCTTCCACTACCTTAATTCTTTCAAGTAGTAGTAACCAAGAACAACGAAGCAGCGATAACAAAATTGGACTGGAGCCTTCAAATTTGAAAGCTTTGATGTGTAACCGATATGTGGAAAGAAGAACCGCTGCTGCTGCTGCTATTACTACCACTGCTACTACTAAGAAGAAAAAGGAGAAAGTGAAGAAATGTACTGAACAGTTACTAATAATCTATATTCTATAATATAAACCATAATGCGACAATACATATTTATCGGTCAAGTATCCTTACCTCCTCTTCTTAGTAATGAAATATACCTTTGATATAACAACAGCCATTACTAGACACCAATAAGTGAACATGTTTCGTTTTATCATAACAACGGAATATCTCATTAATAAATAAACGCGATCTAATTGAATATACATTGCTTTTTATTTCTTTTGTTTCGTTTAAGCTTCCTTGGATATTTTAAATTTTAATGATTTAAAAAACAAAATTCTTTCTTTATATATATATATATATATATATATATATATATATATATATATATATATATATATATATATATATATATATATATATATATATGACAGTCGTTATATATCTATAGACAAACATTTAAGATTACATAAGCAGATTACCTTACCAGTGAGATTCCAATATTACATTTTGCTGTCAATAATAATAGTAATAATAATGATAATAAAATCCAGTGACCTCGAGATAAAAATAAGTAGAATGTGACGTCTCAAGATAACAGTATTACATGATTGCTGTTTTTAATCATTTCACCCCCCCCCCAAGCAAGGCAATAAGGCTACTAAAACGCAACGGGGAAAAAACATGTTTAAGGAGAGGGGACAATGAAGGCAGAAGATAACGATTGACATTACATTTAAATTTTTGAAGATCAAAATTGATTAGAAAATAAAATACCGGAAAAAGTGTGCCACAGGCAAAAGGTGAGAGAAAAGAAACTGTTAGCATAGGATTTACGGTTACATTTAGCCATTTGAACTGTAAAATGATGAAACCTTGCTGCTAATCAAGTACTGCATTTAAATTTGTAAACTCTAGGTACCATCAGAACAATTACCATGAAAATATTTATGGAAAAGGCACAAAGAAGTTACTTACGGCGAGGGAAAGTGATTGAAGCTGAGATGCCAGGTCAAGACTAATGACATGGCAATTCTTGGGTTTTATCAAGGATCTCTAAATATATAGCAGGGTCACCGGGCCATATATGTCAGCAATATTCAAAGCATGGACTAATGGTAGATTTGTAAATATGGAAGATAGATTCTGGCTAGAGAAAATTGTCTAGCACGACACAGAGAACCAACTTTCCTAGCAGCAGACCTAGCAATTGATTCAATATAATCTTTCTACTTCAGTGGTAAATGTCAACAAGAAAAGGCATAAAGAGTCACTCTCCTGGAGGTTAGCATCAGCCATGATGAGGGAAGGCAAAAACACTTCTCGCAGACTATTAATAAAGAGCAGTTTAGATTTGGAGGCGTTAAAATTAACAATCCTTTCCCTGAAAAGAAAAACAATAATAACAGCAAAAAAGCAATATGAGCGCTGGTAAAAATGTTTACGGAGACATTAGGTTTACAAGTCCCAGAAATTCATACACTGATGTCCTCAATGAGACATGGCCCAGTGGTTGAATTCAGTAACTGGGACCAAAGAGTTGTGAGTTCAATACTTGCATACAGCTTAGGTGAACAAAAAGCTTAGATGTTTTAAAGGAAGATAACTGATATTGAGACATTCGGAAGAGGCATGGCACGTGGAACTAAAACAGTTTACCCCGGTGTACGAAATAAAGGTTTCAGCTCGAAATTCCAATCACCTGAAGAAGGCCAGAGCGTAGAACGGCCGAAACGTCGTGAATACAGCAACAGCCCGAACAATGTAAATAGTGTAACTGATACTTATGAGTTCTCATATCCTGCCTACATTTCTTTTCATGCGAAGA